TCCCAGCAATGAGTGTGGCCAGGCCACGTTCACCAGCAATCCTCTGTGTCGTGATGGATGCAGTAGACGCAGATACCACGCCGGATAGCGCGGTGGAAGTGTCTGTGGTAACGACGAAGCTCCTGACGCTGTTCTCCAGAAAGGGAAAGTGGATGGCTCGTCAAGCTTTACCGGAAAGTACTGCGGTGACTGGTATCGGGGACATATCAGTGGCTGTAAAGAGTAAATTCAAGATTCATTATAAAGTTTTCGACACCAAGTGGCCCGCTCGAGTTGCGAAACGTGGTTTGTTGGGTCACGGAGCAGCGGCTACCACCCGCGGTTGGTGACTTACTGCTGTCTCGATTGATCATGAAGCGGCTCGGCTACAAAAACGTGGGGAAATTACTCATCGCTGCTCAACAAGCTCAACATATGTCCGGGCCGTTCAAGGGTAAGAAGGTGTTCATTCCTCGGATCGTCTTCTATAGTGAGAACGATGACAAGGAGTTCCCGTTCAAACTCAAGCGTAAGCAGTTCCTCGTGGTCCCATCGTTCGCGAGGACTATCAACAAGGTCCAAGGACAATCGATCCACCACGTGGGTATCTACTTGGAATCACCGGTCTTCGCACATGGGCACCTTTATGTGGCGTTGTCGAGAGTGACTTCAAGGAAGGCGATTAAGATTGCTGTGGATCCTGAGGCCATCGATGAGGCCGGGAACGTACACACTAACAATATTGTGTACAGAGAGATCTTTGGAATGCGGACTTGGTAGGTCACGTAATGCATATAATACATTTAGCTTTGATTTCGAAATGTTCTTTAATCCGCCGCAGCGCAGCGGAGGCGGCCAACCTTCTCTACACCAACCAACCATGCCCTAGCATCCGCGGAGCGGGCGCCCAGAGCGCTAGTTATCCGCCTCTTAACCTTGCAGCGTGTCTGTCCGTCCGTCTGTCAATAAGTCCGTCCGGTTCCTTTCTTGCTGCTTTTACCTACTTTTTCGCATGGGTACAGCCGGCCTGGCTAATACAGTTTCGTCCCATCTTACCGACCGCGCCTATCTTTCTGACTCGACCTAACCTATGCCAAAATTACAAATATATCCAAAAAGCGTGACGCAATTAACTCGCGCCCTGATTGGGCAATATTTTTCGACTTACTTTTCATTCAAAACACAAAATTGGATTTTTGAGCGACGGCGCGGAGAGGACAAGGTGCGCTGGCTGTATAATAGCAGTAGGGTAGTTTTAGATGTATATGCATGTATGTACGGGCGTGGGGCTCCTTGCCCTACTATATATTCAAGAGAGACCTCTCAGGATACAGTCTGAGGCTTGCCCCGAGACTCCAAAGTGGTATGGCAGTTGGTAGCGATAGCAATCAGGTTGGGGTGGGTGTGACTGGAAGCGTCTACCACCATGCACGCGCCTAGGGGTCCTAGACCCACCGCGAGTGTCCACGCTCCAAAAGCGAGTGGCGCGTGCTGCCAATTGGCCGAACCGAAGTTGCAGCCACATGCGCAATACAGAGGTGCTCTTAAAGTGTGAGCTCCCACATCAAAACACACTTTGCGAGAGCACTTCTGGCGGGACGGAAAGGAATGCAGCAGTCGGTCTCACAAGAGCAAGGAGCCCAAGACCAAGTGCAAGGACAGCTCAAGAACAAGAGATCAAGAAAGAAAAAACACTTTAAGAGCATGAGTGAGCCCCGCGCCTGTACACTTAGATAGCATAGCGTCATAATAGACAGTTTTAGAGCATTTTCGGAACTGTGTGAGCCCCGTGAGGGGCTGGGTCGTTCTCGGACACCCTGTGCATACTACTGACATGACCTGAAGGGCTGGACGGTATCGAACAGACCTGGGCAACCACTCAACAGGGATGAGGCAACAGCTTTGACGTACCCAAGAGGCAACAGCGCGATGCGGCGTCTGAATTACCATGTACAGCTGCTTGGTCCACAGACGTGCAAGGTAATTTGGACCCGTCGGACCGTGAGCTGAGGGCTGTAACACGTCGGCCAAGGGGAGGGGCTAAGCAAAAATTAACTGGACCAACGAGCCGCCTGGAGTGACGATATCCTAAGTTGTTTGTAATCCGAGGAGCCCGGATTGAAATGACAGTTTTGTGTTCTATTCACAGAGGGCTTCTGGATTAGTACTGGAAAGGAAAGTTCGGGGCTCTATTCGAATACCACGTTGCTTAAGCTATGGTGTCCATGCTCTGGTGCTTATATTCATGAAATAGCTGTAGAATAGCTCCCAGTGCACTTAGACTTTCGAGTCTAACAGCCAATGTGATTTTGTTCTATCTAAATCAGGCGACAGTCCAGCTCAAGATACGAGGACATGGCAAGAGCCCCGAGGAAAAGGAAAAGGTTTCCCAACAACTGAGTAGCGGTCTTTGCTGTACAATTAACTCGACTAACTCTGTCCAATGATTAGAATTACCCGCGAGGAACTAGATGATCGCGTACAACGAGCCCGGCGTGAGAACGCATCCCAATCCCACGAAGAGACGCGTAAGGAAAGACATCTCCGTAAACAGAGGCTTCGTAGCGCAGAGGCCCGCTACCGCAAGGCAATCCAAGAATTGGAGCAGCTCGAGTTAGTTGAAACCCCAGCACCAACTGAATCCGGACAGATGAGAGCTTCTGGTCCGGCGGTAGAGCGTGAGGAGAAAACGGAAGAAGACGATCCTGCGGAGCATCAACGACGATTCGAGGAGGAGACGCGTCGCGACAGGCAACACGATACCCACGACTTTCAGATTGGAATGTCAGGACCTACGGTCGACGATAGCGCAGCAGCTACACGTGCGCGTGATGCAGAAAGAGCCCGCGTCAGGCGAGCTGCTATGACGAGCTCACAAAAACAACGGGCACGAGAGAAAGACGCGGAGAGAAAGTGCAGCGGGGCTGCCGTAGCTTTAGCGTCAGAGGAAGACGTTCGACTCAAAGAGTCACTAATACTAAGTTCCTTATCCAAAGGACACTTACAGCCCAAGACCAGGGCTCAAAGTTAACACCTTAACTTTTATGCTTCAAAACCAGAAGTGTTTTATTTACTATTATTGCGGCCGAGCCGCCTAGGGGTAAATGTATCTCTTTAACTATCTAGCATAGTTAAACCTAATCAAATGCATAACGTGTGGCTTTCAGCCAACGTACTGAGATACCTTGTTAACTCTCCAACTTATGTACTGAGAGTTTGTTAACTCTCCGGGTACTTCGTACCCCTGTGTGCTCCACACCATGTAACCCCGTTACACTCTCCCCCACTAAGATGAGAACATTCCGTTCTCGAAACTCTCCTCAGCGAGGTCACGTCTTGTTAAGACGGCGGAGGTTACTACACCTCACACCAGCGTTGTACAGCTCCGTGAGCTCACAAACGCCTACGCATCGTTGATGCCCAACTTCTCGTCGTCGGCCCACGGCCCAATGCTCCAAGCGCAGCGCGCATCTTGCTCTCAAGCGGTCTCAGACCTACGCTCGCGCTCCGCGCCTACTCCAAGAGCTGCAAACCGCTTAGAGCAATGCTCTTGACTCATTCGAGTCGTCGACAACAGCTCAGCGGTTGAACACTCGCTTCACAAGCGATAGGTCCGTGGTTCAACCCACTAGGGCACAGCCCTCTCGTTCCATGAACGATTGTTCACGCTTGGACAAGCTTAAGGGCACACCCTTTTAGCTCATCGGTAGAGCGCTGGTTTTGAGAGCCACAAGTCTGCGGATCGAGCCCAACAGGG